CAATGATCTATCAAAGTCCTTATCAACATGCCATTAAACCATTTCATAACCTTGTCTCCATTCTCACCATGAAAACTCAAGCAATATGATTAATATAAGACATCATTTAAAGCAAGATAATCAACTTACAGAAATCATCCATACATATATCAATATTCATTACAAGAAATGAAGTGCTCTTGGTTATGAAAAAACCATAGAATATACATTTTAATCCCCAAAATATAGCCTAAATTAGAACATGCTTACAAGGGAGGGGCCTCATCACCTCCCTAGATGGAGGTTTAGTTACCCATGGGAGCTTTAGAAGAAGGAAGAAGCTTGGATGCAACCTCCATTTTTGAGCTCCTTTGTTGTAGCTTCAAGAACTCTCCCTTCTCCTCCTCTTTCTCTCTCCAAAAATCTTGCAAAATGAGATATGATCTTGTTATGTGTGGTCCTCCTCCTTTGTAGACATTCCTCTCTACCAAACAAGGCTCAAAAACCCTACCAAAAGACATCTCCAACCAACCCATAAAGATGGAAATCAGAAATGAGGGAAACAAGGTGCAAGTGGGCTGAAATGATGGTTCCCGAAGAGTAGTCTGCCCATAGTTTGAGCACTTGAACTAAGCACTTCGAGCGCTCGAAGTTGGACCAGTATGCTCCTTCCTCTTGACCTGCTTTGCACTACTTTGGTAGAATAGCCATAACTTTCTGCTCTGAACTCCAAATGATGAACCGTTTGAAGATTTGGAAAGCTAATTCCATGCTCTAAATATGTCATTTTTTAATGGAAGTCCAGTTCTCGAGTTTGATAGGTCAAAAATGGCGAGCAAAGTCAGATTCCACTGTTGCCAGAACTTTAGCCTTGAGCACATTGCTATTCAAAGATTGAATAAAACACCATTTTTGCTCCTTTTTGGCCAATGAACCTGAAAATATATAAAAACGTGCAAATGAAGATAATTTATAAAGAATAATCAAATAATGGATTTAACTAATGCAGCTAAAGGCGCTTGAATATGCAATATTCGGCGCTTATCACCATTCCTCTCGAATGACAACTCAAACCTTATCCCACCGGATCAATAAGCTACTACCAAGCGATCTCCCCTTAAACATCCATAGGATGCTAAAAATATAGTTCTAGGTATACCTCACTCTCGACATTCCTTACAACAACCACTAACTTGTCACGAGAAGAGCAATCTCTATGCAATAATGCCATGCCACCAAATCCCGAAAAAGGAGGATGCTCACTATAATTTGAGTGCTCAACATAACACAGTCTACCAAGGTCAACCGCAAAATAAAAACCAGTCTCTGCCATCTAACCGGTCACTTGAATCATCCTTCACAAGATAACTTATGCACAAGTAAAAAAACTTCATGCCCTTGAGGCAATCATCATTACCTTTTCTCTTCACCGTTCTTTAAAACACCTTTGGCCCTAGTGATGTAATACCCCGTAATTTTAAAGAATGTATTTAAATTAATTTTGTGTTAGGTTAATTAATTTTATTTATTTGTGCATACTACATTATTTTATTAAATTCATTTAATTGTGCATGTAAATTAATTGTGTATGTTAAAATAGTAAATTTATTCATTTAATTGTGCATGTATTATTTTAATTACTTTTATTTGTTGATTATGTTTAATTAAGCAATATTAGTTAATTAGAGTATTATATTTGTGTTATAAAGTATTATGATAATATAATATATTATTTTGTAATAACAATAATAATAATTATATTAGTTTAATAATAATAATAATAAGAATATAATAATAATAATAATAAAAGTTTATTAATAATAATATTAGTAATAATAATAATAATAGTTATAATAAATCAATGTAATGATGGAAAATTAAATACTAGGATAGAATTTCATTTACTATGGTAGAATGGTGGATCAAATATCTTGATTAAAGATAGCATTGTCTTAAAGCCATATAGGTAGGAATATGAGAAATGGGTGAGAAGTTATTATAAATTAGATATTTGTAATATTTATATTATATATTTTGTGTATAAATTAACTAGCTTGCCTTAGAAAAAAATAAAAGGGAGTTAGAAGCAAAGTATAAATTCTAGAGAGCTATTTTATAAGAGTGAAAGGAAAAGAGAAAGAGAAAGAAGCTTGGACCGGTGTAGGCAATTTTACCCGACTACGCGCAGACCGGCGGATTTATTTTAAATCCAAAAAGGCAAGTTATTATCTACTTTTCCCCTTTGAATTAATAAATTAATTGTTTAGCTTATTTTTATGCATAGAGCCAAGGTTTGGAGGTTAATAAATTATTAATTTTATTTTATTAAATTAATGGAATTTTAATTATATAGGATGGTATATATTTATTTAATGTCCTATGAAATTAATAATGGCTAAAAATAATTAAATAAGACTTTAGGGATTTTTCTAGAATTTTCTAGATTTTTCCGGGCATTTTCTGCAATTTCCGGCGACCTTCCGGCGAGTTTTCCGGTCGCCGGCAGTGGGGGAGACGACCGGAGTGATCCGGTGCGACGCGGCACACCATAGGAGGGTGTACGCGCGCATCCTGGCCATTAGTGGAGTCTGATTGATCCGGTGCATCGCGGTCCATGATACCGCGGTACACCCGGATCTGTGGGCGTTGGATGGAGGGAAGATAGGGTGAGATGATTCGGTGTGACGCGAGTACGGAATCCGGATGCAGCCAACCAACCAGGAAGTGACACGTCAGCAAGGCACCCTTAGTGCGCGCGTGGCAGCGCGTGCGCGCGCGTGGGAGCGCGTGGCTGATGCCAGACGCGCGTGGAGGCGCGTGGGAGAGTGGGGAAGGTTGGGCTGCGCGTGGGGAGGCTCTGGGAGGCGCGTGAGGGCGCGTGTGGGGTCCCTACAGCTGCTGGAAATTACCAGAATACCCTTAGGGCCTGTTTTGTAAATTCCAGAACCTTAAACTTGGATTTTTAGGTACTGTGTTGGTAATTACGGGTTTAACGGGCCACGAAATTATTATTTTAACACTCGTTACTTATTCTTATGGCCGATTAATCTTTTCTAAGCATTTATTGGCTCGTTCGCAGTACGGATACTAATGTGATTTATTTAACGACATTGTTAAATATAAATAGTGTTATTATCGTATTTAATGGTATCAAACATTACTGTTAAATTAAATAAGGCCATGGTTTTAGTCAGATAAATTATCCATGATATCTTATAGGATGTTTATACTGTTAATTGATATATAAACCATGATTATTATGCTGTGTGCATTTCAGGAAATAAATGGACTGTTTAATTATGTCGCATTTATATTATATGGATGTGTTGCCATATAGAACCATATGAGCTGGCTAATAAGTTTAGACTCATTTATACCTTATGCATTCGTTGCGATAGACAGATGTGTGGCTGTCGGGGTATGTGGTTTAATATTATTGGCATGTGTTGCCTAATTGACATTCTCGGTACATTTATTAATATTGTTGGCATGTGTTGCCTAATTTATATGCTCAGTATATTCATCAGTACTTTGCGAGGTGTTATCACTGTGTAGTTCGTTATAGTCTGTGTTGTCAGTACCGTACACCATGTATAATAGCTGATTTCCCGGGTAGGGAAAGGCGACACTTGACCACCTAGTGTGAGTCTAAGTGATCACCGTCTATTCTGGTTGAGGTCATGTTATACATCGGATAGTTCCCGTAGGATGTATACAGATATAGTACTCATCCGATTCATAATGATTAATTTATTTGATTCTCTGATTTGGGTCATAGTAGAGAGGACTTGCTCGTGGGGTTGACCCACCATTGTTGTTATTTCAGGATACGGTCAGTATCCGTTTCAAGGCTGAGGTTAGCAGTGTGGGACCATCATCCGAACTCATCTACTCCTACGATCCAGTGCAGGGTAGAAGTTTTATGTAGTATTTCAGTTTCAGTTTTTATTTACTTTTGACGTTGAACTCTCAGGGTTATATTTAGGGATCCCTGACGTAGGATTTCCAAGTTGTAATGAAGTACTGTATTAAATAAAGGATGGATGGATGTTGTATTATTTAGTGTTCCTTTCCGGTCTAAATTCTTTTATTATCATCATTTTGTATTCCATGCTTGTATATTGCCAATTGTTTTTGATATCCCTCGTTTTTCGTGTATAAGCCTGATCAACTTATGCGTGGAAAATGTGGGGGTGTTACAGTTGGTATCAGAGCATTCCAGGTTCGAGTGTCTTAGGGATCTGTGATTACTATACTTCCGCGTTGTGTATTCTGATAATTAGAGCCTAAGTATTAGGGTTCTTTGTATTCTTTTAGTCGGTCCATTATAATGTACTGACGTTAGATTTTTCTGAATTTAATAGAAGGATGTCTCGGCGTGGGACAAGGAATGCGAACCGTCATCGCAGTATTTCCCCAACTCAAAATGAGAATCAGGAATTTTCTCCTCAAGTTGCTGATATCATTGCACGAGCGGTGGCAGCAGGAGTAGCATCTGCTCTACGAAACCAACAACCTCCTCCGATAGTACCTGTTCCTGAACCAGTGGCACAGCCAATGTCATGGGACAAAGTTCGTCACTCGTTCATCCGGGGAAATCCACCAACGTTTGCGGGGTCCACAGATGTCCTGTTAGCATATCAGTGGAAACAGGAGAGCGAGCGTCATCTTCGGATGGTAATCTGTACCGAAGTGCAGAAACAGATGCTAGCTACGTTTATGTTGATAGGCAATGCATTGCAGTGGTGGGAGTCTATTACTACTGTCGATGAGAGGACCAGACTGACATATGCTGAATTTCAGACTCGCTTTGACGGCAAGTATTTTCCTATGTCAGTAAGATCAGCGATGAAGACCGAATTTCTGGATCTGCAACAGGAAGATCTGACTGTGGCTGAGTATGAACAGAAGTTCATAAATTTGTCATTATTTGCACCAGAGGAGGTCAATACGGAAGAAAAGAAGAGAGACCGCTTTGTGAAGGGGTTAATATGGCCGATTAAAGTGGTGATCTTAGGTAGTCCGGCATATACTACTTATATCCAGGTGGTTAATGCCGCCTTACAGCACTGCCAGATGAGGAGTGATTACCGGAAGTCCAAGGGAGATAAACGGACTAACCGAGACTACCAGACAGTGGAGAAAGGAAGCAGCAGTGGTGCCAAGTCCAATGATCGGGGCAGATTTCAAGGACATCAACCTTGGAAGAAAAACAAAGGAAACCTAGATGTGCAGAGGGATGGAGTCCCTAATCAGGGTAGACAAGGTGGGATACCTCAGACCGGACAGGAACAGTGGTCGGGAAGTCAACAGAGGAGGCAGGCAGGTCCTTTTACGGGACGTTGTTATCACTGTAGAGAGATTGGGCATCCGGCCAAGATGTGTCCCAAAGCTAAACAGGGACAGTATGGGCAGCCGAGACCTAATCAGCCGTTACCTCTACCGGCCCCACCGATGCCACGTGGGCAAGTTCAGAATTTTCCGGCACTTCCAGCACCACCATTTCCTCTGGGACAACCTCCACAGCAGTTGCATCATGGCAGAGTTTATAACTTCATGCCACATAATGCGCAGGCTCCTCAGGTTATTGAGGGTATGTTTTCTATACATGGTAGAACTGCTCGTATACTATTTGACACTGGTGCATCACATTCTTTTGTGTCTAGATCTTTTGTTATCTTATCTGGTATGACGACTCAGTTATGTGACCAACCTCTTAATATTTATACACCATTGGGAGTTGGCGCAATTTTACGAGAGTATAGCGGTGATATCCTTATAGATATGGGCCGGCTTCGATTTCTTGCAAATTTGTTAGTGTTAGATATGCATTCGTATGATGTTATACTTGGGATGGACTGGTTATCTCAGTACCATGCTCAGGTTAACTGTTACGAAAAGTCTATTGTATTTTCCATACCAGGACAGGAGATGTATCTTCTTGTTATACCACAACCTGATAGAGGGCCTAGCACTTATTTATTCGTTCTTGAGGAGGACTCACAGGAAGCGACTGCGGTATCTCTTGACAGCATCCCGGTAGTACAGGAATTCCAGGATGTATTCCAGGAAATTCCAGGCTTGCCACCGAGTCGAGAGATAGATTTCGTTATTGATTTAGCTCCAGGCACTACGCCTATTGCTAAGGCGCCGTACCGAATGGCACCAGTGGAGATGCGAGAGTTGAAAGATCAAATTCAACAGTTGCTCAGCCAGGGATTTATTCGCAGGAGTACTTCACCATGGGGAGCACCAGTACTGTTTGTAAAGAAGAAGGATGGATCTCTTCGTCTTTGTATTGATTACAGAGAACTGAACAAGGTCACTATTCGCAACAAGTACCCGTTGCCCAGAATTGATGACCTGTTTGATCAGTTGAAGGGAGCTACTTACTTCTCAAAGATCGATTTGAGGTCTGGTTATCATCAGCTACGGGTCAGAGAACAAGATGTTCCAAAGACAGCATTTCTCACGAGGTACGGATCTTATGAGTTTCGTGTTATGCCTTTCGGTTTAACGAACGCTCCAGCTGTCTTTATGGACTTGATGAATAGAGTATTCAGAGAATACTTAGATCAGTTTGTCATTGTTTTCATTGATGATATTCTGGTTTACTCCAAGTCGGAGAAGGACCATGCCAGACATTTACGCACAGTATTGCAGACACTTCGAGAACATCAGTTGTTTGCGAAGTTTGAGAAGTGTGAATTTTGGCAGAAAGAGGTCAAATTTCTGGGACATGTAGTGTCAGAAGAAGGGTTAGCAGTAGATCCAGCCAAGGTTGCGGCCGTTATGGAGTGGGGACAGCCTACCTCACCGACAGAGATTCGCAGTTTTCTGGGATTAGCGGGGTATTATCGCCGGTTCATCCAGGGATTTTCCAAAATTGCGGGTCCACTTACTCATCTGACTAAGAAGAATGTACCATTTGTATGGGATGATTCTTGTCAGACTGCTTTTGCTGAATTGAAGAGTAAGTTAACTTCTGCACCTGTCTTAGCCACACCTCAGAGTGGAATCGAGTATTTAGTATTTACCGACGCTTCTCTGAAGGGTTTGGGTTGTGTGTTGATGCAAGAAGAGCGACCAGTTTCTTATGGGTCTAGGAAGCTTAAGCCTCATGAGCTTAATTACCCGACTCACGACCTAGAGCTCGCCGCAGTGGTTTTTGCCTTGCGTATTTGGAGACATTATCTTTTGGGGGAGACTTTTCGATTGTTTAGCGATCATAAGAGTCTACAGTATTTGTTCACACAGAGGGAACTGAATATGAGACAGCGCAGATGGTTGGAATTCGTGAAAGACTATCACTTCTCTATTCAGTATCATCCAGGGAAAGCGAATGTTGTAGCAGACGCACTCAGCCGCCGACCATATGTCAGCCTTTCAGCTTTGTTTACAACAGAGTGGGATGCTTTGAAGACTGTTGATGAGTTAGCAGACGCTTTTATGGCATGTGTGGTAGTAACTCCTTCTATCATTCATCAGGTCATTCAAGCGCAACTCTCAGATCAACAGTGTATTGATCGGGTTTCGGAGTTAGCCTCCGGAGATGTTCCTTTTTATTCTATAGGGACTGATGGAGGATTGAGGTACAAGGGACGTTTAATTGTGCCTTCAGCTGATAATTTGAGAAATGTTGTGATGAGAGAGACACACACTTCTCAGTTCTCTGTACATCCAGGGGGAGACAAGATGTATCAGGACATGAAACGCCAGTTTTGGTGGGCCGGCATGAAAAGAGATATAGCTATCTTTGTCTCTAAATGTAGCACCTGTCAGATGATTAAAATTGATCATCAGAGACCGCCAGGATCGTTACAGCCACTTCCCATACCAGAGTGGAAATGGGAGAGTATTTCCATGGACTTCATAGAGGGATTACCTACTTCACAGCATAATCACAACTCTATTTGGGTCATTGTTGATAGATTGACCAAGTCCGCTCACTTTCTGCCTGTTCGGTCAAACTTTACGTCAGAACAGTATGCTAAGCTGTATATTGCAGAAATGGTGAAACTTCATGGTGTACCATTGTCCATCGTATCAGATAGAGATCCGAAGTTTGTATCAGGATTTTGGAGGAGCTTTCAGCAGGCTTTGGGTACAGAACTATATCTTAGCACTGCTTATCATCCTCAAACAGATGGACAGACTGAGCGAGTTAATCAGATTTTAGAAGACATGTTGCGGGCATGTGTTCTTGATTTTAAGGGCAATTGGGAGGAATATTTGCCGCTTTCAGAGTTTGCTTATAACAATAGTTATCAGAAAACTATTGGTATGGCACCATTTGAGGCTTTGTACGGTAGACCGTGTAGGTCTCCTGTCTGTTGGCTTGGAGTTGGTGAGAACAGCTTTTTGGGTCCTGAATTTATTAAGGACACGTCAGAAAAGATCGTTATTATTAGGGATCGGATGCGTACAGCTCAAAGCAGACAGAAAAGTTATGCTGACCGTCGAACTCGTGCTTTGGAGTTTAAGGTTGGTGATCAGGTTTTGCTTAAGGTTTCTCCTATGAAGGGAGTAATGCGGTTTGGGTCAAAGGGTAAGTTATCGCCTCGTTTTGTGGGTCCTTTTATGATTACAGATCGGATTGGGGCAGTAGCTTATCGTCTGGCTCTACCAGATAATCTTCATAGGGTACATAATGTTTTTCATGTATCTATGCTGCGAAAATTTCTACGGGATGAAGATCGATACCAACACATTGATGTGGGTGAGATTGAGTTGCAACCCGATGCAACCTATTTGGAACAACCTTACTGTATTCTCGATCGTAGGAATCAGATACTGCGCACGAAGACTATTCCATTAGTACGTGTACAGTGGAGCCATCATAGTGCTACAGAGTCTACTTGGGAACGGGAAGATATTATCCGGGCCAAGTATCCAGAACTTTTTAAGACAGGTATGTAGTGAATTTCGGGGACGAAATTCCTTTATTAGGGGGGGAGAATGTAATACCCCGTAATTTTAAAGAATGTATTTAAATTAATTTTGTGTTAGGTTAATTAATTTTATTTATTTGTGCATACTACATTATTTTATTAAATTCATTTAATTGTGCATGTAAATTAATTGTGTATGTTAAAATAGTAAATTTATTCATTTAATTGTGCATGTATTATTTTAATTACTTTTATTTGTTGATTATGTTTAATTAAGCAATATTAGTTAATTAGAGTATTATATTTGTGTTATAAAGTATTATGATAATATAATATATTATTTTGTAATAACAATAATAATAATTATATTAGTTTAATAATAATAATAATAAGAATATAATAATAATAATAATAAAAGTTTATTAATAATAATATTAGTAATAATAATAATAATAGTTATAATAAATCAATGTAATGATGGAAAATTAAATACTAGGATAGAATTTCATTTACTATGGTAGAATGGTGGATCAAATATCTTGATTAAAGATAGCATTGTCTTAAAGCCATATAGGTAGGAATATGAGAAATGGGTGAGAAGTTATTATAAATTAGATATTTGTAATATTTATATTATATATTTTGTGTATAAATTAACTAGCTTGCCTTAGAAAAAAATAAAAGGGAGTTAGAAGCAAAGTATAAATTCTAGAGAGCTATTTTATAAGAGTGAAAGGAAAAGAGAAAGAGAAAGAAGCTTGGACCGGTGTAGGCAATTTTACCCGACTACGCGCAGACCGGCGGATTTATTTTAAATCCAAAAAGGCAAGTTATTATCTACTTTTCCCCTTTGAATTAATAAATTAATTGTTTAGCTTATTTTTATGCATAGAGCCAAGGTTTGGAGGTTAATAAATTATTAATTTTATTTTATTAAATTAATGGAATTTTAATTATATAGGATGGTATATATTTATTTAATGTCCTATGAAATTAATAATGGCTAAAAATAATTAAATAAGACTTTAGGGATTTTTCTAGAATTTTCTAGATTTTTCCGGGCATTTTCTGCAATTTCCGGCGACCTTCCGGCGAGTTTTCCGGTCGCCGGCAGTGGGGGAGACGACCGGAGTGATCCGGTGCGACGCGGCACACCATAGGAGGGTGTACGCGCGCATCCTGGCCATTAGTGGAGTCTGATTGATCCGGTGCATCGCGGTCCATGATACCGCGGTACACCCGGATCTGTGGGCGTTGGATGGAGGGAAGATAGGGTGAGATGATTCGGTGTGACGCGAGTACGGAATCCGGATGCAGCCAACCAACCAGGAAGTGACACGTCAGCAAGGCACCCTTAGTGCGCGCGTGGCAGCGCGTGCGCGCGCGTGGGAGCGCGTGGCTGATGCCAGACGCGCGTGGAGGCGCGTGGGAGAGTGGGGAAGGTTGGGCTGCGCGTGGGGAGGCTCTGGGAGGCGCGTGAGGGCGCGTGTGGGGTCCCTACAGCTGCTGGAAATTACCAGAATACCCTTAGGGCCTGTTTTGTAAATTCCAGAACCTTAAACTTGGATTTTTAGGTACTGTGTTGGTAATTACGGGTTTAACGGGCCACGAAATTATTATTTTAACACTCGTTACTTATTCTTATGGCCGATTAATCTTTTCTAAGCATTTATTGGCTCGTTCGCAGTACGGATACTAATGTGATTTATTTAACGACATTGTTAAATATAAATAGTGTTATTATCGTATTTAATGGTATCAAACATTACTGTTAAATTAAATAAGGCCATGGTTTTAGTCAGATAAATTATCCATGATATCTTATAGGATGTTTATACTGTTAATTGATATATAAACCATGATTATTATGCTGTGTGCATTTCAGGAAATAAATGGACTGTTTAATTATGTCGCATTTATATTATATGGATGTGTTGCCATATAGAACCATATGAGCTGGCTAATAAGTTTAGACTCATTTATACCTTATGCATTCGTTGCGATAGACAGATGTGTGGCTGTCGGGGTATGTGGTTTAATATTATTGGCATGTGTTGCCTAATTGACATTCTCGGTACATTTATTAATATTGTTGGCATGTGTTGCCTAATTTATATGCTCAGTATATTCATCAGTACTTTGCGAGGTGTTATCACTGTGTAGTTCGTTATAGTCTGTGTTGTCAGTACCGTACACCATGTATAATAGCTGATTTCCCGGGTAGGGAAAGGCGACACTTGACCACCTAGTGTGAGTCTAAGTGATCACCGTCTATTCTGGTTGAGGTCATGTTATACATCGGATAGTTCCCGTAGGATGTATACAGATATAGTACTCATCCGATTCATAATGATTAATTTATTTGATTCTCTGATTTGGGTCATAGTAGAGAGGACTTGCTCGTGGGGTTGACCCACCATTGTTGTTATTTCAGGATACGGTCAGTATCCGTTTCAAGGCTGAGGTTAGCAGTGTGGGACCATCATCCGAACTCATCTACTCCTACGATCCAGTGCAGGGTAGAAGTTTTATGTAGTATTTCAGTTTCAGTTTTTATTTACTTTTGACGTTGAACTCTCAGGGTTATATTTAGGGATCCCTGACGTAGGATTTCCAAGTTGTAATGAAGTACTGTATTAAATAAAGGATGGATGGATGTTGTATTATTTAGTGTTCCTTTCCGGTCTAAATTCTTTTATTATCATCATTTTGTATTCCATGCTTGTATATTGCCAATTGTTTTTGATATCCCTCGTTTTTCGTGTATAAGCCTGATCAACTTATGCGTGGAAAATGTGGGGGTGTTACAAGTGAAATATCAAATGGGGCTACCTGCTAAACCTACGAGATCATCCTAGTCCCAAATCACTCGAGTCAATAATATATCCTTTTGGATCCTCAACCATTAGTACTACCTTCCGATACTCCAAACACTTCCGGAATACAACTCCAGTTCACAACTTTATAACTCTAAAACACGATCTACATGGTAACATAGTACTTACCATCCATTATCTCATTCATAAACAACCAGACACTTCAACAACCACATACTACTTGCCTTATCGTGCAATTCTACACTATCTAGCTAAAACTGACTTCTAAACCTAACCTCGAGACTCACTCGATAACCGCACCATACAATCAACTCACCGAGAGTCAAAATATCTTTAACGCATCCCTGTAGTTTCCTGAAATGGAAACCACCCCTCAACCAATCAGTTTTTAGAACAAACTCTTGCAAGATTGCCAAGGATCACATCTACTAGTTGGTCATCCGTTACTGGCATGACTCTATCCAATAACTACGTCAACCTATACTTACTGGATCAAACAAGTTCCTTTAACAACCATACTTAACACTCCTCATCAGGATGTATTAAGGCATATAAACCATACGTCCACAACCTCTACATCATACTTGTGACTTCATCGATCTTTATAACGTCTACCATAAATCGGTTCGAAGAGAACCGTCATACTAAGTTGTGATCTAAATCACAGGCATCGAATCATTAAAATCACAAGTCCCGTACAAAAGTCTCACATCATAACCTGACATCCACGGTTATAAGACCCCATACGCTAACACATGAAGCTCATACACATCACCCTAGACACCGTACTATGCGCCATGTAATCATTCTAAAGTAGTGCCCTTAGCACCACACTATGAAAATAATGAGAAAATTTGAAATAACCATGCATCAAATAGCTCAATCCACGAGCTAGAAACCCACGTCATTCGTTCAATAAGAACCATCACCCAAACAAACTTTAGAGTAACCGAGCTCGCCGCCTATTCAGGTCATAACCCATATAGCAAATTACGTCGTACCGAGTACCCTGCCATACTAGTGACTATATCATACTCGTCCACCTACTCTTATACATGTATACATAATAACCAGAATGTATACCTTGACATAATTGTGTCTAATCACATCAATTTAAATAACGTGCCCATTAGTTCATTATGTGAAATTAAACATCCTGTTCATCATTTTCATCTTTTCATAAAACACACGCTTGCATAACTTATGCTCGACTACCCATCACATTACCATACAAAACATGTTTGCACAAGTCGTGCTTATGACTCGTCCTTCCATGTTCATCACACTTGAATTTTTTTTTTTTTTTTTTTTCGGATAGCATGCTTTCATTAATCACATAAGCCTTTCACACTTAAGCATTTTATATACATGCTATTAATGACATATGTATTTCATTTACATGGCAATGTAACAAATTCTTCAACATTTAAACACGTAAACACGTAGCAAGTAAGCATGATTCTCAAAACAGTAAACATTTATGCAGTCAATGTAAGTCAACTTTTCGCGCCATCTAGGTAAGCCACTGCCCGTCATCCGAAAGGTTTTCGAACCTTTGCTCTGATACTAAATCTGTAATGACCCAAATCCGTAGATCCGAATCGGTAATCGGTCCCAACCCGACCTAAAGGCACTAAGGGAAAAATGGTTATTATGTACCTCTGCATAATCTAGGAGTCATAATGATGGCACACCAATCGTTTCCAACCAAATCAGATAATGAAAGAGTGATAACCTCGACTGTAGGATCATTCTAGGTCCCTAGGGTTGATAAAGGTAAAATGGTCATTTCATGTAACAATTATGGAATTACACCTATACCATTAGAAAGATTACTCAAAATAATTCATTGTTCTATTGGCGAGCTATCAATTTCCCTTCGAGATTTATATATGGTAGACAGTCTCCCTCATCAAGGAACAATTTATGATGAAGTTATTTCTTGCGCAGACGAACTCTCGAGAGCTGGCAACAACAAAAATTCTCTCCCCTTGAGTTGTTCACACCTATTTTTGGCCTTCCACAGACTTTCCAAGAAGTATAAAGGAGATCAGAATGTGAAGATATCTGACTGGATTAATTTCTGATTTAAAGGTGCATTAAGACACGTCAAACCTTCAAAGAGATCAATAAAAAATAAAGTTCAACATCCTATGAGGACTCAAAACCCGTCTGGTGTGATCCCTTCTATCCGGCCGATGACCAAAGAAAAGGAAGTGTTTATCAACCTTGGTATAGATGAAGCATCAAGAGACACCACTTATTTAGCTGCTTTTTTAGCATGTTGGCTCTGCAAATTTGCCTTGCCTGCACACCCTGGCAACATGATTCGTCCTGGACTTTCAAGGTTATAAGCATGTTAGTAGATGGCTGTAACATTTGTCTTTCCGTCCCGGTTTTGGCCAGTATTTACAAAGGCTTGAACGAGATTGTTTCCTCACCAAATCTTGGAAGCTACTCTGCGATATTTCCTATACACTATGTATTCGGATGGTTGAGTGAATATTTCAGAATTAATTTCACCGTTCCTAATATCAACTATTGGCCTAGAATGACATTATATGCAGGCGAAGGAGGAGCAAGATACTTTGACAATTTTGAAGCACAAAACTTATTCAGATCATGTAAAGGAATAAATTTAACTCATATGGCTAAACGATCTGCAAAACAGTGACTCATTGTGGATAATGGAAATATGATAAAGGCTTACTCTGACACCCTAATCAGTCTTCGATCATGTTATTTGACATTGCGCCAAAATGACCGTCTCATCATTGAGCTGTATAGTCCACACAGATTTAGCCGACAATTTGGGTACCACCAAGATATTCCCGAAAAATTAAAGAATGACTTTCGTAGTTGCACCTTAGAAGAGTTCTTAAAGCATTGGAACTCATCCGTCCATTATTCTTCTGGTTGTGATGCGTTGCTTCCCTCAACCTTCAGCCACCAGAAGTCCTCAGTTACCAAAGCATATGCCAAATGGTGGTCCAGCGTATAAATTGATCCATTCAAAAATAAAAGACCGACCTCACTGTCGACCAAGCGTACAATTTCTCCAAAGGAATTGCCAAACAAAGGCAGAAAAGTCATCATTAATGGACCCAAGTCGAATCCTCTTTGCAGACAAGAAGTTATTGCAAATCACAACACCAACAACATCATTGCAGGCACGCCAATGGAGCAATTTCTATCACCGATAGAATCTCGGCACCATTCTCAATTGTTAGTCCATTCAGATAAAGAAACTGACAATGAAGACCGTAACTAGAAGCATGTAAGTGTAAATAACTTCACATATGATTAGATTGTTATTCCTTATGATTTAAGCCGCTTGTTTGAGGGAGTTAATAACAGTTCGGAACCCATCCAAGTAAAGAATTTCCTTTTCTCATAAATTTTTTTTTTTAAACAAAAGGCAATGAAGGCTTTCTTGGAGAAGATGTTGTTATAGTTACTAATCTTATATGCAGTGGGGAATTTACTTATGGACCATATGCATTTGATTTAGCAACTAAAAGAAACCATGCAATTACTTAAGATGAGAACAACCCTCTCTTACAAGAGGTAGAGTCCCTTGAAAAGCAGTCACAACCCCAAGCCTCTTTGATTGAAAAGGACGTCCAAAGCCAACAAATGATTATGAATGTTGAAGAGATTCCTGCAACTATTACTGCATTATTGACTAAGAGACATCACCTTAGGGATGCCCAGACATCTCACCGAATCACATCTTCTACAACTACCTTTGACTCGAGGAGTGCCATCTTTGAGATTAAGCACACGGCGGCCAAAGCATTTGGGAATATCATTAAGAGTAAAGTGAAGTGTACCCCACTTTCGAAGATTCCATCTCTTAAACTAAAGTTTGATGAGATCTTTCTTGAAATTTTTAAACAATGTGTGGATTTTCCGGAGTTCCGTCATAGAATTGATGCATACATTCAGAATGGTGAAGAATATAACAAAGTTCGATTCAAGCATGATCATGCCTTATCTGAAGAAGTATGCTCTCGATGTTTAGTTGATGTTGGTTCTCACCTCAAAAAAGCTCTTGCTTTGGATTGTACAGACGTGAAATAAGTTCAATCAGCTCAAGAAGCTCTACATAATTGTGAGAGAGAAGTCAAACTTTTGCAAGCTTGTATGGAAAGATATAAAGCCACCATTGAAGAAACTAATAACCGAATACTCCAAAGAAAAGCTAACATTACCAAATTTAAGGAGGAACACAATTCAATTGAAGAAACCTCTGTTGTCACTGATGATGATATAAAAGCCTTGAAGTTCCTGGAGAAGCTGTTACAAAATGCTCAAAATGAAATCGAGGATCTCCCTTTGTTGCCTTAATGAGAAGCTTTTTCCACATACCTTGTAACAAAATATCAGTTTTATTATAACAAATCAATGAATTTGACTTATTTATTTTGCCATTCACAGTTTATACTCTTGCGGGCCAGGAGTGATTTATTTATTTATTTATTTTTTAATTGTACTGAACTTAGAATAAAATTTTAAGCTGTCTACATACCATCAAAAGAGGGATCAAGTCATCACGTAGTTCAATAAAGACATGAGTTTTTTTTTTTTTTTTGGGGCCGTATACAGTTTTAGCTTATGTGGGCTAGGAGTATAGTGCAGTTTAAGCTCGAACGATTAGGATCATCTTCTCTAGTACCATGACCTTGGTTGTAACTTGATCCACCCTCTAATAAAAAGATCTAAATAGAACCATTCTTAGATGAGAAAGTGATGATGAAGCCGATAAATCGCAATTTGTCAACACAACTATCAAAAAG